ATTATGACCCGTCGCTGACCTATCTTTCAGATATATACTTTAGTAATCTACTCGAATCGGAATCTGAATCGGGACCGAATTGTTAGCAGCCACATCGCGGCCGAGCAGCACTTGCCACTCAATCTGGACAGGTTTAGTTTCCGTTTCCGATTTCCGGTTTCCGGTTCCAGCTGCTGACCGCACGACTCGGAGGCAAAACGAAGACTGAAATCAGCCAGTTGGCGCACTCGTTGTTATATACGCGAAGTCCTCCGACTCATCCGACCGCCGAGTGGTGAGTTTGCCACGGGAATCATGAGGTCCTTAGCAGGACTTCGGCATCTCTGCGATTGAGTTGTTGGCAATCGCAGTTAATGGTTACTTTTCGTGTGCGGAGGCCGCACGAATGCAACAGTTTTCTGTTAGCCAGGCAGAGTGTAATTACTTGGCCAAAATTAGGGAAAAACAAAGCCATAAATTGGCTCAAAATGCAGTTTAAATTTTACAACTAAAATATATATTATTCTTTCCAGGAATTAATGTAGCAATTTTATTTATAATTAATTTCAAATCATCTTTAACGGTGTAATAATGCAGAGTGACACTGAAACTTGGTTTTATTTAAATTATACGTTAAAACCATTCGTGGATGCTGAAACGTAAAACACCAGTTAAGATTTATCTTAAATATTACTTTTTATTTTTCTTAAATCTTATTTTTTATTATTCCTTTTTATTCAGTAAATCATTCTGTTAACTAACATAAGGAGTGGGTTTGCTATACCATTCAGAATAACAGTACTATAAAAGTTATCCGTTAGCTTTGACATACTCTTCACATTTAGATATTCCACCCCCAGATTTACAGTATGTTACAGACCAATTTCAGCTGCTAACAACATGTTAGAATGCTATTTACAGTGAGGGGATAAGAACAGCAGTAGAACACTTTAGATGACGAAACGGTTAAAATGGTTACAGTTAACATGCTCCTGATTCAACTATTATATCCTTAACATTGATGTTAAGAAATAAAATGGCCTAACATTTTTGCCTTTAATGGCATTTTAACTTTTACTTTACTATTTCCTACTTACCTTACTGTGGATTAAATGTAAGGATTATTAGAAATTGACAACAATTTAATTTTAATTGCAGTCAAATACTGATGATTTGATTAATAAAAACAAACCTCAGAAGGTCCTTAAAAAATGGTCCTAAATAAAAACTTTGGCCATTTCTCTGCTCCGGGAAAAGGTGATTTAAAAATACAAACAAATATCGCAGAGCCATTCGAAAACTATTTTAAACCGCATAAATATTGTATTGAAGACATAGTACCAAAGGCGGAGGAAAAACAACTGCAGCGCGGTGGAAAAATGCTGAGAGAAGCGCATAAATAACACTGCGGGTCATGGGCGGAGGGGTAAATGGGGTTTCAGGGGGCTTTGGGCACGTATAAAATACACGGGTCACCAGCGACGACGAGAAATAAATTGTATTTAGTTGTACAATTTATGGTCCCTATGCAGGGGGTGGCAGGAGGCGGGGTAGGAGGTGGTGGTCACATACTTACACACATGCATAATTCAATGCAAGATGCGAACGGGGCGTGGGCAAGGGGGAGGTCTGCGGGTTGAGTCTATCTATCGACGGTTGCATCGCCCGGGGCGACGTTGATTTTGCTGTAGCGCACTTTGGCGGCATGTCCTTTGTTTCACTTTGTTATTTTGTTATTTTCAAATTATTTATTGGCCAACGAGCGGCGATGTTGGAGCCGCAGCATCAGCAGCTTCAGATCCAGCTGAAGGTCTGCACGGAGAGAAAATAAAGGGCCCGGAATGGAAGGTAAAAGTCGAATAAGACTGCAATGTTTGTAGTACTTTTCACTATATTCTCTTATAAACCCTTAAACAGCGAGTTAGTAACCTTAAAATCCAATCTGCCGCACCTTTTTTTCAGTGCACTTCAAGCTGCCCTCGCCGGTTGAGTCGGGGCTAATGTGTAATTCAATAGAGTAAGTAATGTGCATCAATTTTCAGCTCAATAACGCATGGAATACAAATGCGAAACATGTGCAAATATGTGCGCGCTTCACACAGACAGCGACACAGCAAACATCCGCAGAAATAAATATCTAATAGCGAATAGGGGGGTGGCAGAGGGGAGTTGGGCGGGGTAGATCCTGCAAGGACGAGTGCGAGTTCGACATTGTGTGACGCGTTTCCGTTTCCGTCTTGCGGTTAGCTGCTGTTTGCTCTTCGTTCTCTGCCCTCTCCCTCTACCACCCCTCTCCACTTTCTACTTTCCACTCGCTGCCACCGCTTTGGCTGCCTTTATTTGTTTTTCGGTGTTGTCTTTGGCCCTTTGGCGAAAAATTGCAATGGTTTTTGGCAATTGTTTTCCTTTTTAAATGTGTGCTGCCAGCGATCGTGCGCGAACTTCGCCCTGAGTAATGTGAGACCTTCAATTGTGTGGAAAATTGAATTCTGCGGCAAATGCCTGAATTTATGAGCTGTATGCAGCAGGGGGCAGACTCCATCATTTGCATAACTACGCTCTATTTGTCCACCAAACACGGACCAGAAGACACACAATTGCTGGCCACTTCACGCAAAAACAAACAGGAGGAACAGGACATTCCGGATGCCAAGATGCCAGCTTGCAGTCAAGTGCAGTGTGGCAGACAAATAAACAAACAAAGCTACGGGCAACTGGAGACAGGACCTGCTCGCAGGACACGCAAATAACTGGACACACATTGTGTACTCAGACCTGGAATTGGATGAAGGTGATGTGGCTGGTAGACTCTGGCTTAGAAGCCAAACTTTAGTGTAAAAAACTTCTCCTGGACAAGTATTAATCGCTTTCCTCACTCTTACCATGTAGGTCGAAGAACAAACTACATTGAGAAGACTTAAACATCATATAGTGCTTATTAAAACGGTGGAGTCTTCCTTTAAGCCGTGAAAAACGCAATTGCCACCATATATCCTGCGGGATTCATTGCCTCCTCGCTGGCTGTTAATTAAAAATGTTGCCAGCAATTTCCCATACAAGTTAGACACCGAGTGCATACAGGGATTGCCCAGATAGTCGGCCAAGATTTATGCCGGCTAATAGCGGTCTCACCTCCCCGGTCTGCATTTCCCAGGAAACGGAAACGACCACAAGAATTTCAATTTGCTCAAGAAATTGCGGCCGCAAAGTGAGTGGCGAAGTGCAGGGAAGCCCATGCAGTCCATACGTGGGTCCGTCCGTCTGGATTGCCTGTCAGGGAGCCAAAGGGTCGAAGTCGAACGATTGCCCTATGGACTTGGCAGCTTATCCGAATCCGACTTCGTTCTGGCCACAATTTACACCACGGCTGCAGCTCATAAATTTTCCCAAGTGGAAAATTGCTCAATTTATAACTGTGGCGAGGTGTTGATTGCACATCGTTGGACGCCATTTCCAGTTGCCACAGTAACATGGTCGAAATTTTTCACCTGATTGGATTTGCCTCCGAAATCCGAAAAGTCGCCCACTTATTAATTTGTTTATGCGACTCTAATCACTCACACCCAATCCCCGAAAACCGCAGATCAACTGGGCCCCCAACTTAAGATTCAGTTCATGAATGTGTGTCTGTCTCCCCTTTTCCCCTTCAGACCCACAGTCCCTCGTCCCTCAGTCAACAACAAATGTTCCGGAAAATTTGTTAACATCAAAAAGTACATTAAAGGCTCAAGGAATGCGCTTTCGTGCGGAAATTGCTTACGTGCGTGGCATTAACAAATGACATCCCGCGCCGCCCGTATAAGACTCGTCCTTCGTCCACATCCTTCGTCCTTGGGGCACTTCCCACCCCCTTTCAGAGGCTGTGGAACTTGTCGCTTTGTGGCTGCGGACTCAGCCATTGGCCATCGGTGGTGGAATTGGGCCATCTAAGCCCTACTGCGCATGCTGACGAATATTTGTGGCCTCAACAAGTGTGTTGGGTTTCCCACCGAGCCCGCGAAATTCAACGGATTCATGGAGACTTTTGTTCTGGTGGTAACCTCTTCCTTTCTCTCCGCTCGCCTTCTCCAGTTGACAACTACTCGAACGGCTCACGTAGCCCGGCAGTCGAAGCAGAAGCCACTTCACTACAAAATAATTAAAAATTGAACACACAGAACTGCGGAGCAGACAAACAAACGGCTAGCAAATGACACTCGCCACGGAGTGGAATGGAATGCAATGCGATCTGCAGGCAAGCCACCCACGAGATACAAATACACTGATAGAAATTTTATACAAGCCAATATGTCTTACCCTGCCATTATATGCCAAGAAGTGCAGCTCTGTAGCTAAATCTGAGGAGGAAATAGTTGGGAAAGAGTATAAGATGGGCTTTATCCTAAGCTCTGATCTTTAACTCAACTCTATTTCTTACAGTGCACAGCACTCTATATTGTCAGTTGGCATCATCCTGTTGTTGTTTTTCGGTGTTGGAACTGTCGCTGCCGTTGTCATTGCTGCTCATTTTACACAAACCAACAAAGGCCAAAGGCGACCCAACACGAACACGGCAATCTCCCCAGCAGGAGCTCCTTGGCCTTCTGTCCTTGGTCCTTGCTCCCCGCTGATGCTCCCGTTCCTCATCTCGTTCATCTCGCCTGCAGCTGCTTAAATAATTTTCGCGATGGGGAGCGAGCTTCGTGTTCGTCAGTTGCCGGATATAAAATGTCAATAAGCTCCAATAACGCAATTGACAAGCTGAGACAGCCTCCCTCGCCTCGCCAGAAGCTCAACTGCGGCAACAATAAACGGAAGCAGTGCTCAGGGAGCAGGGCTTGAGGTCGAGTAGCAAGGGTTAATGCAGTTGCCCAGCGAGGCGTGCACTAACTTCCAGCATCGACATCTCGTGTTGCCCGCGGCATCTGAACAAAACCCCGGCCAAGTAATTTCAGGCTTAGAGGAGCTCCAAATTGATTAAGGTTTAGCTCGTCGAGCACTGAAAGAAATCCAACCAAAAAGCCATCTATGTGAAGTCAATTTTCAACTTATATTTTGGTTTAAAGTTATCAAAAACCACACAACGTAAACCGATTTAAACTCGCGCTTCTTTTTGGTCCTCCTTAGCTTCATTAGTGCCCGATGAGGAGCCAGAACGAGATCCTTGAGGCATTTCCCGCATCTCCTCCGAGGAACGCCCTATTACAATTCGTCGACTTGACTTGGGAGTACGCTCCAGGGACTTATCCACAGATCTTCGGGGTGTACTCCTGACACTAGAAACCGGTGTGCCAGCTACGATAGGTTTCTTGTTGTTCCACACGCAAAGCACGAACCAGATCTCTTTCTTGAAGGCGGCCTTAAAAGTGAGCTGTGAATTTTAAACTTCAAATTATTCAAAGGATTCGGAAGTTGGACAGCAGGACTAACCCTTTCCTCCAGCGCCACTTGCTGTACGTAGACCAGGAACTCCGTAATGCCGATGAGAAAGGCAATCAGGATTCCCACGTACAGCGTGTAGAATATGCCGCGCAGCTCCTCAAAGTTCATGTCAGGAGTGGCATCCGTGTCGGGTTCCTCGAAGCAACTGGCGTTGGGGTTCTTCCACCACCTCTGCTTAAGATCGTACAGGGCCCCCGTCTCACTCAACTTCAGGATGGCCACACTCAAGTTCGATCTGTATTCCGCACCGAAGGGAACTGCAATGGCATAGTGCTTCTCCCCAAACTTCTCTCCCACGGAGCGCAGGTCGCAGTTCTGCTCGCGATGGTATTCCAATGTGGTGGTCTCCATGAGGAACATATAGTCGCCTTTGTTCTTCTGCACTCGGTCGACCCCTTCAAGATTGTCTTTCGTGTAGGCAGAGGGGTCATCGTTGTTCATCAGGTTAAAGGCCAGGCGGTAGACAGTCTCGTTGGAGTCGGCCAGAAGATTGTAGGTACTTCCGCCGTAGATGGTGCCAAACTTGACCTTCTTCTGGCCACTCAGATCCTTTAAGTTGGCTATGCTGCCCTCCATCTTGGAACTGGTCAAAAAGGCAGCCAAGTTGGCCGTATAGGAGTTGGCAATGATGATGGCGAAAATCCACCAAGTGGCCTCAAACATGCGCACCTGAAATGTGATTAGTTATTTGGCTTATTAGTGGGGCAGTTGGTAGTCTCACCTGTGGACTCCTTGGTAGAATGTCACATCCTGCTGTCATAATGGATGCCACAGTCAACCACCCAGTATTGTGGATGTGCCACTGATTCTCGAGTACTTCAGGATCGCGGTTGCACGGATGCGGGTTCTCCCAGTCCATATTGGAGATTCGCGCCACGATTGTCTTGAGAAAAGTCACCACAAACACCGATATAAGGATCCAGATCCAGACCTCTCCTCCAAAGGGTTCTAGGTACGCATCGAGTGGCTTCTCCACATGGGGACTTTTGTAGGCGAGGATGCTGACGCCCAGCTGCATGAAGGGCACCGTGAAATCCACTGCGGTCTTGCGAGCCTGGGTGATGGTCAGATCGCAGATTCCCATGTGAGCATCCTAGAGGTTAAGCCGTTAATGATTTATTCAACTTGACAAATGTTAACCATTCACATTATTGATTATTTCTCCGATTATTCCGTTCCACTGCTTAGTGTCCTTGTCCTGCTTTCCGTACTGCTGATCGGCAACTGGAATGAAGACATACTCAAATCCGACCTGCGCCGCAATAGCGTCGATAAGGTCCACGGCATATCCCTGATATAGGGCGTTGCCTGTCATGTTAAGCTCCATTGCCGTCTCGTTAATCGAAAAGTATGGTGGGCCGATTCTGGTGGCCACTCGATAGATAATCTTCTTCTGCGCCTTGGTGTCCACGTTGAGCGGCGTCACCTGACCCCTTGGGTCCCAGGTGGCTATGCCAACGCCATCCAAGGGGTCGTACACCTCGATGTTGAACGTTATCCGCTGTCCGTCCTCGTCGAACTGCAGGCTACTTGTCCGGAAGTTGGCGTTGTTCACGCCGGAAGTCTGCAACACACACCTCTGAGATTAACGGGAGTGTTCTTTGGCTTATTCAGGCTGAACCCCTTACCCCCTTCATGAGGCGTGCGAGATAGCGACCCATGGCCCAGGTGCGACCTCCGGATGCGGCAAGGTCGCAGGTTATCCTCGGCACGGCCATCCTGTCCGGGTAAAAGAAGCTGGCGTTCCGCCAGGACTGCGCAAAAAGCTGCAGTGCATCATGAATCAGGTCGTGGAGGAGAGTGCGTGGCGGTTCATTGCTTTCATAGACGACGTTCTCCCTTTGAACGACGTACCCATAAGGAGAGAGTACTGCGAAAAATTAAATTTAAATCAGGAAATGCTAAAGAATAAGATTCGCTCACCGCAGGCGGATCGGGATTGACCAAGAGACGAGCAGCTGTTATGTTCACGGCAAAAGTTTCGTTATCCGCCGCCAGTTCCTCCAGGTTGTCGGTGTAGGTCTCCAAATTTGTTAGAAATATGTGCTGTTTTTGGTCGTAATAAGTTAAACTGAAAAGGTAACAGGGCTAACTCACATTGTACTGCCCAGTTAGGCCAAACTCAGTGGAGGAGTTCAAGAGATCCACTAACATGCTGGGCTCGCAGTCCAAGACCACTCGTCGTTCACCCCTGATGCTCTTCCACATGACCCTGTAGTCGTCGTCCTTCTGGAACTTCCTCACCCGCACCACATCATTGTGAACCTCCCGCAACTGCAAAAGATCCTGCAGGCGAGCTGCAGCCTTAGCTGGGGAAGATCAGTTAGTTAATTAGTACTTTTAGTTCAAGCTAATTATAATACCCACCATCGTCTGCATCATAGACAATAGTGAACTTGCGCCACCCAAAGTTCTGGACAATATCCGCATAGGCCTTGGACAATATAACCTGTGAGGGATAGAGGTTCAGCGTGAGTTGGTGGTTGGGTCTCTCCTCTTGGTGCTCCTCATCCGCCACATCGAACTCAATGTGCGGTATACCGGTGTTGTTGCACACCAAGGCAACGATGTCTTCAAAAAGAGAGGAAAATATAAATATTTTTTATAAGTAATCTTCCGCTCTGTTGACAAACAAATCCGACAGATGTTGCCAAAGTCTTCCGTCATTTTCTTGTGGCCCAAATTCGTCGGCAAGCTTTTGACTTGTTCTATTTTGCTTTCGTCTTCTACACAAGATTTCCCCCGAACACTCTTACCGCTCGCCGCCTTTGAACTTGGTCCGAAAATAGCCGCGACACCATTATCTATAAGATCGCAGGCTGAAAGTAAAAATTCACACAGAATTCATTCAGAATCGAATGACTTAGGTCAGAGAAATGATGGACTCACCCTGCTCCTGCATCGCCACACTCCCATCCTCGGGCTTCAGGCGTTTAATCAGTGGGTAAAAGCGGTGGGTTTGGTCCGATTCAGGTCCATTTATGGCGTTGACCACCGCCATGAACTCCTTTTCCAGATCCAGTTCATCATCGTAGAAGAAGGCACCTGCAGGTGGAAAAGAAGAGGACGTTGCTGCTTTTTCACTTTTCACTGCGGCCGACCACATCTCACCAATGTTGATTTGTTGCCCATGGCTGTGGCACACGAAAAATGCACTCCACATGCAGCCGAGCAGAACTATGCGATGCCACATGCCTGCTCCTCTGGAATTCCCAGCAAACATTTGTGGCCAACGGGCTGAGCTATTTCCGAAATATTTCGCTTTTCATGCGAGCACACGGGCTGGCGATTCCACGGCAACTGAGGAAGCTTTTCTGGCCATTGGAGATCGAATCCGGCGAGTGCAGACCGGAGATCAGCTGAGTGGAAAAGCTCTTCCAGCTGATTGGCCTTAGTGACATAAATATGAAAAGTTTTAAATATTTAATTAATTATTTTAGAATTCATAACCTAACTATATTATATGGATTCTGGAAAACATCCAAAAGAGCTGTAATTAGCTCCCTAAGGACCATAAAACCCATTAAAGCTGGACACGGTTCAATCAGGCAACGAGCTCTTGGTTTCTGGTGCTTCATTGACAAGCGATGAGGTGTCAATTTTTCAAGGCAAGAAGACGACAGCAAAGGCCTGCCAGCCATCAGGGTTCGGTGGATTTGCATAAAGGGAGCATTCAGCATTCAGCCGAGCATACTTTTAATGGCTGGGGAGTACAACATGGAGGCAACAATATAGCCGCTGGTGTCATTTTAGCCTTTGCCTCCGTGTGTTTGCTCAAAGGATTTTGCGGATGCCGAACACGTTTCGTGTTTTAGCCCGGCCACCTTTTGTCGAAATTTGAATAATTCCCACCCCGTTCCGGATGAAGGTGAACCCGGCTAACCGTTAATATTCATTTGCGTAGTTCGCAAAACCAAATAGGTATTCAATAAGCCTCCAGTCAAGCTGCTGATGATGATAAATGTCCGTATGGCCAGGGCAACTATTCCGAATTGAATAAAGGATAGCCGGGCATTCGCCATTAGCGCGGAATTTCCCGATCTGCTTTTTTCTTTTCGATTAAACTTCGCCCGGAATTCGCTGGCCGTAATCAAGCCAACGCCAAGAAGTGAGCAAAAAAAATGGCCAGGGCCAGGCACTTGCAAAACATTTTCTATTACACGAAATATTTATGGTTATCATGCGGAGGCAGCGGCAAAAACGGGGCCACCTATGAATGGAATGCCCTGCAGCTGGCCAAAGGAACCAAAGCAGTCAGAGCAGCCAGACCAAAACCCACACCAAATCCCCACTTCAGGTCCCCAGCAAAGCTCTCCGAACAGAAAACACAGCACAACAAATCCAAATCCTGGCCACAACAGCACAAGAATCTGCAAAACTTTTGCTAGGTAATAAGACCTCGGCAACGGGGGACTGAGAGGGATGATGATGCTCCCTGGCTAGTGCAAAAAAGTTTTAATACTTGCCATAATGTTGCCAAAAGGATTATCCAAAAGAATGACTTTTAATGGAGACAGGAAGTAAGCGCATAACAGACAGAAGTATTAACTGTTTCCTTCCGCTTGCTGGGGAGTCGGAGTTCCTCCACCAGGACGATTCGAAGGGGGGTGCCCGTGGCCAACCTCTGCACACATATTTACAAAACTGTCAGTTCCTAAGCGCTCCTCCCTGGAATCCTTTAGTGCGTGTTGGTTCGGTGTGTATGTGTGTGTTTGTTTGGCTGGGTTTGTGGCACGTAAGCTGTGCGGAAATATTGCAACATCCTCATAACGGGAGACTTGAGTCTGGGTCTGAAAGGCTTACCACGATTGCTTCTCCATTCCAGTGAGTATTACCATTTCCTCCAGAAGCTTGCCACCGTCTCAGTAAAAACTAGGGACATTCTAGATGGCGTACAACTCAAGTCAGAGACCTTCTTATACGATATTTACCTGCCAGCTATCTGCAAATATCTAAAATACTGGTCAAAGGAGGTTGCCTTGGTCAATGATTGGCACTTGGCGTCGCAAGATATTCAATATAGAGTTTCCTCGGTCGCAGTTTTAACCTTTCCTCCCCGAGTTTTCCAATATACTTTACTTTACTCTCATTTTGCATTTTAATGAGTTCGCTTGAAATATGAGACGCCATAGCGGAACTGGGGCGGGGCGAGAAAAAAGGAACGGCGATGACAACAGCGGGCGCCATAATTTTGCATCCTTCGCTCGGCTTGTTTTTCTCCGCACTCCTTTCCTTGGGAGGTGTCCTAAGTCGGCTTCATCGTCGTGTCCTGGCTGCAGGATATTGCTTTAATTGAAATTTATGCTAAATAGATTGACACTAATGAGCAATGGCTCCTGCTCCGGCTGCTTTTCCAGCTGCCGGCCAGGTAATTCCCGGCAAGACTATCTGCATAATTAAATTGCTTCCCAGCGCCTTCGCCCGGCTAATGTCAACCGAATTATTATTATTATTTTAGCATTTTTATATGAGCCGATCCCCATTTGCATGCCACACCCAAAGCCAAGTGCCACCAGCTGACAAATGGCTCAAGTTGTGGCATTTCCGCAGCTGCTGAGTGCTCCGCTTCCGTTCCGGATGCGACTTCTGCGACATGTGTATTCCAAAGCCAAAAGTCCCCACGTAGATTCATTGTAGAATCGACATCGCACAGGCGAAGAAAAACTGCCTCCCTTGCTCTTTTCGTAGTTATAAATAGACTTGAACATCCTTCTAAAAATTTGAATATACTTTGATTTCTGAAAAAGGATCTGCTCCACACTCTGAAAATTCTGTACGAATATAACCTTAAACTCGAGAGAACCCTATACAGATTTTTTCCTGTGCACTTTGCTCTGGATTTCCCCTCACATTTATCGCTTTGCTTTGGTGACGGAAATGAGTTTTTGTCGTAAACTTTTATGGCAATAAACGTCGCTTGTTAGTCCGGGGTTTCGCCATCCCCCAAAAGCCCCCTTTCCTCCTTCCCCTTCCCCCTTGTCCCATGGCAGTTACGCACTTGGCACAGAAATCATAGCCGGGCCTCGAGGAGAATAAACATATAAATAGCTGCAGAGCCAAGAATGGTGTCGTTGTTTTCTACGGCGCGTTACACATTGCCAGGCTGCATAAAAATAGTTGGCCAGCGCAGCAGGATGAGGTGGATTCCAGATCCTGTGACCATTTTCCATTACATTTGCCACGTCACGGCACATTTCTCTCGCATGTACCACTCTAACCGGAGTCTATGGCAGCTCACTTCCGTTTCCGGTACTCCGCATTCCATATTCCCTACTCCGTGCTCGGTCCTCGGTCGTTGGTCCTCTGGCTGTTATCATATCTCTGGCTTTTGTTTTACCCCGACTGCTGTCTTTTAATTCTTTTAACAATTGCGCTAAAAGTTGTGCATTGAACACTTGGCTGCCTTTCAGCCAGCAACAATAAAAATGGGCACGGAAACGAAGCTGTAAAGTATACGCCACCCTGGTGCCCAGATAACAGAAATATTGTTTACCGCAATGCAATTGTTGCCAAAGAAAAGCAGCAGTGGGAAGGCGCCGGGGAAAGCCTTTTCATTTTTGTTTTACTTTATTCACACCAAAGTTGGCCAGCAGAAGGCGGCGGAAGAAGGGGGACCTGTACAGCTTCCGTTTCCGCTGAAAAGTTTCATTTCCCATACGCCGCTGACTGAGTCGATGATAAAGTGCGAAATTAACTTTCGAAATAAACAACAAAAGCAACCACGGCCCGGCTCCTGGGGCAGTGATATACGGCAGCGGCTAGAGTCCCCTCCTCCCACGTGTGTTCCCTGCATGTAAAACAGCCCTGAGAAAATGATTAAGGGGGCGCAGGAACATCGAACATCGGATATCATTCACCTGCTATGAAGCCAATCGAAGTCCGTGGCTCCATTTGGGTTTTAGGCACGTAAAAAATATGAAAAATTCGCATAAGCAGGAAGGGAGTTCATAACTCGGCAGAAATCTCGACCTATCGCATAGGCATGCATATTTAATGTGTGGGCGGGCAGCTCTGCAACGCCCTCTGATCCACTGTGGCCCCTTACACAGGGGGAAAACATTTCTCAGTAAACAGGCCAACCTTAAATAGTCTTTTATGAAGAAACTTGATTATAAGAAACGTTATTGCTTATTGCTTACTAAAAATGTTAAATAAATCTTCTGGCTTTATCTATATTTATATTCCCCGGTTCTCTCAGTGTATTGTGCTCACGCCATCAACACGAAAAGCAATCAAATTGCAAAAATTTGTTTCATTTTCTGCGATAACATGACTTGAATTTGATGAATGCCTTGGCAATAGCAAGCCATGAACGAAGTGTAGTAGCGGGAGGAGGGAAGAGGGGGTCAGAAAGGGCGGAAGGGACGCGAAGGATATTGGCAACGAAAGCCAAATGCCAATCTCGGCGCGCTTTTTACGAGGCCAAGCTTGGCCCAGGCGGTGGTGGTGGGCGGTTTCGGGATGAAGTGGATCGTGGATGGGGTGCTCAGCATGGAAAAAATGTGCAGATATGGCCAAATGAAAGAGTTATGAATCCGCAACTTTGTTGCTCCCCAGGCGCTTCTGGCTCCAGCTCAAATGTCCCCCGCCCTGCTGCGATTACTAATACGCCCCGTGGTCTCCGGCCATCACATCCTGTGCGCGGAGCTCGTCCTTCCTGGCCAAGGATTAAAATAAATGCGCCACATTTGTATGTGCTGCACGATTCGAGAGGCAAAAGGGGAGGGACTTGGCCCGATTCCCTATTTCCGATAACCGCTATTTATGGTTAGCTGCATTGGCCATCCGCTCCTTCACATCCACATTCAGATCATCATCATCATTCATCATCAGTGCTCGCGGCTAGCGAGAATAAAATGCAAAAATATTTCCACAGCTCCTCGCCCTTCCCCTCCCCGTTTTTCTATGGAAAAACCCCGAGGTTCTGAAGTCCTGGGCGTGTCATCATTTTGACAGAGTCCGCTCAGGGAAACGCACCGAATTTTTGTAATTACAACCACGTCAAAAGCACTCGCCGCACAAACAAAGCCGCCGACCAAGAAATAAATGACCAGAAAAGCTTCCACCGCCGCCCTTGCCAAAATGGAAAATTAAAATTAAATTTCAAGCATTAGGCTTTTCGGCTTGCCAGGGGGAATAACATTTTAATGGGCGTTTTGGAGGGATCCATCTATAAGTTAAACCATTCCGGAGGGCTGTCCATGTGGGACTTCCAACTCCCAAATTTCTGA